CACACAACCAGGCACACGCCTTGCACGCCTTTAAAACACTGTTCAACTTGTGGTCCTAGAATACCTGTACAAAGGCTCTATATCATGTTGGATACCTCAATTTTTAGTTTAAATTTCATATCTGGCACTGTATCCAGCTGTGCCTTGCTATATCTGGGTAACATAGTATCCAACCGCCTAGACACATAGGCTTCAGGAAGTGAAGTCTTAGTTGCTCTTCTTGTTACTTGTTAGATGAGATGCCCAAGTATACAAACATGAGCATTGAGTAAAGGAAAAAAGGAATACTACTCTCACTTTTCAGATCTAAGACATGGATATTTTGATGAGTAACTCGATTAATATGATGATAACATGACTTTGGGCTGTGTATGGATTGCAGCGGAAACAACAAGGTGAGATTCAAGGGGATATGTGAATCAGCTGCGCTCTGAGTTTTCACCATTTGGCTTGGAAAAAGAAGAGAGTAGACTCCAGATGGCACATAGCAGTGGTTGTTTGCCATTTTAAAGGATTTTGAAATCCTTAAGGCTGTGTTTGGTTTGAAAGAAAAGGTAGGGAAACCTATACAAGGTTTGTACAGGTTTCCCTACCTTTTCTTTCAAACTAAACACATCCTAAAGAAAGCTGATCATTCCATTTATGGCTCCTCTGCCCTTTCTGTCCTGCTCCATTCCATCCCCTGATGTCACGAACCCAAACATAGCCTTACATGTAGTTTCAGTAATCTCATTATTCAATGATTATATATTGCCAAATTTTATGGGTGTAATATTTTAAATTCTTATGCTATGATTCATAAAGGTACTTTTATATATTTTTAGAAGTGTCCATGTATAGTTTTGAAGTGCCCATGCAGTAACCATACCATACGCCATATATAATATGCACAAGACAGGTATGCAACATGATCAGGGGTTCTATAGTAGTGGTAGTATAAGCTTATTGATGAGATTCCATGAATAGAGATGCTAAATCCTGAGAGTGAACTAAAAAATATATACTTGGCCTCTTGAACCTTCAACTAGTTTGAACTTTGAAGACAACCATAAGCTCATCAGAAAAATCAAATGCAATTGTAGACAAAACAGAAATATAGAAAGATGGTAACTAGAAGCATCAGGTTGTAAGCTTCAGCATAGGAAATATATGGCTTACTAGCCCTTCTATTTGATTGACTAGATGTTTTGACATGAAACAAATGTCTCTGAATGACATATCAAAATAACTATTAATATGATAACCCACATAGATTTACTTATAGAGAGTTCTAGTAGTTTCAGCTTTGGCCAAGTTGCACAATGAAGCTAATATATAACTCCATATAAACAATGATAGAGAAACAGAATGGTGCGTAACTGAAAACTTTATGTGGAGAGTAAAAATTGTATTTCTCTATATTTGTTCAGGCATATATGTACAAGAGAGCAGAAAGATAAGATACAGGGAAAGAGATAGGTCCTAACAGGTTATGTTGAGTGAACCGTGCATACATGAGTCATGCAACGGCTTGGTGGGCAAATACTAACTGAATAGATTATAGACCATTAGCTGATGGAACTTCTTAGATTTTTTATTCAATTACACCATCTTACTGATTTAATACTCCACCCTAATTCCTATTTAAGGTTGTAAAGAAGCCAAGACTGACTATAGAGTCCATCTCATTTAGCTAAATGAGCTCAAGCTAAAAGAGGGTGGCTTTAGCTTGGTTCATGACCAGTTCTTTAAATATTTGGGGGCCTTCTGTTTTTGGATTTTGAGAGGGGGGAAAGTTGGTCAATGGGATTTTGGTTCCCATTGACCAAGAATCCCATGTTCTTTTTTCATATTAATGTGGGAACTAGGGAAAGTTTATTTTCCCGGGTAAGTGATACCCATCTCCTAGGTGGGTAAATAACTTTCCCACCAGGGGGGGAAGTTTCCAACACTTGAATGGGACAAAAATGCCCCTTTTAATAATGGATTTTTATGGCTAAAATGGTCATTTCCTTTTTTTACTTGGGAAATAAAAGAACATGGGTAAATACACTTACTTGGGTAAGTGTTTCCCAAGAAAATCTATGCTAGCTAACCACCAGCATAAAAACACTTTTATAAAAGTAATTTTATGAAAAATACTTTTATGAAAGCAAAGTACTTTTACAAAAGTACTTTTTTTTTTGAAAAAGGGAAAGTATATTAAAGAAAAAAGGTATACAAGTTGTATACATCAAAAGGATGAGGAAAGTTCCCTAGGAACCCAACCTCCCAGGTTAGGCCAAGAACCCAAAGAAAAAACAAAACACCACTTAAAACCCAACCCCCAAACAAAGCCCTTAGAAAACGGGCAATCATAGGCCCTAGTAGCCTCTAAAAAACAAACCCCCAAAATTAGCACTTTTACAAAAGTACTTTTATAAAAGTAATTTTATGAAAAGTATTTTTACGTAAGTAAAGTACTTTTACGAGAGCACTTTTACAAAAGTACTTTTACATGAAAGCACTTTTATAAAAGTAATTTTATGAAAAGTACATTTACGTAAGTATTTTTACGAAAGCACTTTTACAAAAGTACATTTACGAAAGCACTTTTATGAAAGCACTTTTACAGAAGCACTCATAAAAGTACTATGAAAAGTACTTTTATGAAAGCACTTTTAGGAAAGTACTTTTAGAAAAGCACTTTTATGAAAAAACTTTTACGTAAGCACTTCTATAACAAAAGTACTTTTATAGAAGCACTTTTGTGAAAGTATTTTTATCGAAGTACTTTTATGAAAGCACTTTAAGTACTTTTTACAAAAGTGCTTTTATTCATTCACTTTGGATTGAATTGTACCCAATCCGGTCTATTTGCATTTTAATTGGACCGGATTGGATTGTGGCAGGTGTTGTAGTTTTTTATATATTTTCTGGATTTCTCATGTTACTTTGGTGTTTGATTCAATTTGGATTGGATTGGACCCAATCCGGTCCACTTGCATTTTATTTGGACTAGATTGGACTTGGTTTGTTTGGATTTGGTCCAGTCCATTTATAAATGGACCAATATTGGATTGGACCAAATCCAGTCCAATTGACAGCCCTACCGGTAAACATCTATGCTAATGATTTTGGAGACCTAGGTTGGTGGTTTATGACTGCTAACACAATTTTTTTTTTTAACAATGAAAATAAACAATGTAAGGCACTTGCCAGTTTGAAAAGAATTCATTTTTCAGGAAAAAAGTGTTTGGTTCATTCATAGCAATATTTTCTCATTTTACCCATTTTTACCCATTATTGTCCATTTTAGAATTTCATCTTGGGCAAGAATGAGAAAGAATGAGGGTTGAACCAAACATGGCCTAAATATACCATATTTTGACTTGACAAACTTCTTTATTTTCTTTTGCTCACTTTACTGACATGAAACAAATGTTTTGCCACATGAATCTGGCAAGCTTCCAACTCCAGGTCATAAAGAGACCCAAAATTAACTTAGGTGAGCTGAACTGAGAAATTAAGCCTTAGGTTGGTAACATGCCCAAATCAAGCTGGACTGGAAAAGCTCAGCTAAACTTGGTTCATTAACAAATCTGCCTATCAATATGAAAATAAGAGCAGTTTCAATGGAGTAACATCAATATATAATAAATGAAGATAAGGTATAAGTTCATATTGGGGAAGTGGGTTTGGAGGTTTGGGAGAGAAAGGGAGAAACTTTGGAGGAGAGTGGTGGCATGTAAGTATGGGGTAGTGAACTTTGGGTGGGATTCAAAGGAAGTGAGACACTTGTATGGAGTTAGTGTATGGAAAGGGATCATGAGATTTGACTCTTTGACAATTCCTTTTTATACATGGAAAGTAGGAAGTGGTTCGAGTATAAGGTTTTGGGAAGATGATTGGTCAGGGGTTGGGAAATTCTGCGAAATCTGCCCATGCAAGGTCATACAATCTGGGCAAGAAGGAAGTGCCTATTTCAGAATGCTATGAAGTAATTAATGGTGCTGTGGTTTGGAATCCAAATTTCAGAAGGCCTCTTTTCGATTGGGAGGTGGAGAGTGTTTGGAGCTGTTGGCAAAGCTTCAGGCCTTGGAGATCAATCCCTCAGCTGCAGATATCAGATTATGGAAAGAGTGTAAGGATGGGGTGTTCACAGTCAAGTCAATGTATATGGCTCTGATCGGAAATCAGGTGGCAGCTGATCCAGTTAGGGGTGTTTGGGGGAAACCAGTGCCACCAAGGGCTAAAGCCTTTGCTTGGCTGATTGCTAGAGGTTGCATTTTAACTCAAAACAACTTAAAGTTCGGAGGTTTTCAGTTTCCAAGTAGGTGTGCACTGTGTTTTGCTGGAGAGGAAGATGTTCTTCACCTAATGCTTCAATGCAGCTTTGCAACTCCAGTTTGGTCCTATTTTTTCAAGCTGTTCAAGGTGGACAGGTGCTCTATGTCAAATCCAGCCGAAATCTTTAGTTTCTGGCCAAGAATCCAAGTTGGTGTTAAAACTAAGATTTATGGACCTGTATTCCCTTTGCTGTTTTTTGGGAGATCTGGAAGGAAAGAAACAGAAGAATTTCTTAGGAGAAAAATAAAAAAAAATGGAAGAGGTGGTGGATGTCATCAGTTTGACAGTTATTGGTTGGTGCTGCTGCTTCCAGAGTTTCATGGGCTGGAAGAAAGAAGACTTTTGTGCTGATTTCTGGACTTCTCTGAACTCATAAAGGAGTTCTGATGTCTGTTTTTGATCCTGAAAGTTTCGTTTTTTGTGGTTTCTGTGTTGTCTCACTTGTTTTTTGTTGTATTTTCTTCTATTTAGCAATAAAGTTTTTTCTTTATTTATCTTCAAAAAGAAAAGTTCATATTGCACTCAGGTTCCTCAAGTGCCAGGTTCCTCAAGTGCCCTTCTGCTCGTGTACCTTATAAATAGTATCAATATATACCAGAAAAATAATTTGTAAGTTACTGCTTGACTTGTTTTACTTATCCGGTTATCCCTTTATGCTTACAATTTGGTTCTCCCGGTTCATTAAGACTTACCTTTCCCTCATAGATTTCATCCTTGTGGTTAACATCAATATCTCCAGAAGCCATCACCCGAACTGGATTTGCAGCTGCAAACAGTCTCATGAGATCAAAAAAGTGACAGCACTTCTCTACCAGAGTTCCTCCTGTATTACAATTAAAACGATTCCAATTTTTGACCTGTTATAAAAAGGAAGGAAACAAAAATCCATTAATATAGTAGCAAGTTTGGAAGTGACAAAGGAAAGAACAAAGAGAGAATAGCACATGCTACCTTAACCAGAAAAGGAAACCGGTGTTCACGTATTGCCACCATTTTGACTTGTCCAAGTATTCCACCATTAACTATTTCTATCAGCTTAGCCACAGGTGGCATGTACCTATACTCCAGGCCAACTTGCACCAATATCTCTGGCCTCCTACCAGCAGCATCTATTACCTAGGAGAACCCCAGGTTTCACTGAGACTTTGATGTAACCCCAATATATGTTAATAACAGAAGTGACAGAAACTAGCCTAAGGTAGCTGAAGGCAATTTTACAAGGGAAGTAAACATGAGAAACAGTAAAAATATACACAATATGTGAATGTATATGGATACTACATGTGTGTTTGTGTAGATGCAGAATCATAATCCCTAAGGGGGGTTAAGAAGGTTTATGTGTAGGGGCTTAGGAAAACAAACATAATTTTATTTATTTCTCATAAGTCCATTACAAAGGCAATGACGATAGCCCCCTTTCGCACAATTATTCCAGCATAATGAACTTTTATAATTCCGGCATCACTATAATTCTAGTACAAAGGTAGAAACAACATTCAAAGAATGCTTGTGTCAGAATGAAATCTTCTTCTGACCAAAAGATAAACATTAAGATTTTTTTTTTTATGAATGATAATAAATTTATTAATTCAGAAGCAGATTTAGAGTGAGTTCATACAAGATCCTAGGGAGAGGCACGAGCTGCAGCCCCTCCTTGAATCTTACAAGTAAACTAGGAAAGAAAAGCAAGAATCACAACTGAGCCCAAAACAATTCTTCCCTATTTACCCCTTGCTTGGCTAACACATCTGACAAAGTATTTGCTGAT